ACGTTTGGTGCCCACATTTATTGTGTATCAGGGTTAGGAATTCCCAAATTGGGACCCTCTGAAGAGCACTTTAATGCAGAATAATGTGTAAATGTTCAAATTATGCATCATGGCAGAACTATTTTGTTAAGAACTGTTAGCTTGCTTAAAGCAGAATTTATTACTGCTCTGCCTGACTATTAAAGAACTGTTATTGAGGCTGGAGACTCTCAGGTTTGTTTGTAACATCAAAAAACATTACAATGTTAAATAAGTACTTCAACAAATAGTCAAACATGTTTAATTCAAGGTGGCCTGCAGGTAATGTGTTGAATGTGAACAAGTAAGAAAACAAAACCTTTTCATAAGAGTCTTTCCAGACTGTGCATTAGAGCTTCCTTACTTTAGTGAAGTGCTCAACACCAGGTTCAATCCGGTGCCATCTCAGTGCTCCCCTTCCACACAGCAATATACTTATCTCCATCCTCTAATCCTTCAATGTCGCTCCATTTAATCCACAACACAAGCCTTAAAAAAAGTCTTCATGTCTTTTTACAACTTCAAACTGACTAATTAATGCTTAAAAAAATCTGTGTAGATAACTGCTTTTGACTTTCATTCCCACATTGGCACAAGAGCTGGTGTGTTCACCAGTTGAGTGTGTTTTAAAATATTCAACTAGAAAAGGTGAATCTGGATTCAATTCCTTGCATTGTATTAACAGCAATGGTAGAATTTATGAAGAGGTGTATTTACTTATTTAGAGAAAGGTTACTTAATTAGGTTGTTGAAGGCATCTAGAGGGAAGTGATCAGCCTGTACTCAACAAGGAAGAAAGGTTTAAGATGCTTTTTATGTCCTTAGCAGACGACATACAAGAGCATTCACTTTTAAGACTAGACAACTTCCCAAAAGAATGTGTCAAACTCTGGTGAATTACCTCCACTACAGAACCTTCCTTTGGTGAACACAGGATATATCTTAAGAAGCCTCATTCCACCTCCAGGATCGGTGCTTTTCCTCTGCTTTAACTTGACCTAGAAAAGTGGTCCGTGCTTTTGTTTCCAAGAGCAGTTAACTGCAGAGCTCAATATTCTGAGACTGCCCTGCTCCACACTCAGTAACCAATCCGACTCATTCTAAACTTTGCAGTGAACCAGAAAAAGCGATCGCACGACCCTGACCTACTGTAGACAAGCCTTTACTGGGTCAGAGTACCGGAATGTAGTGTCCTCAAAGCCACATGCATCAGTTCTTCTTATTCTCAAAACTCGATGGAAAACAGAGCCATCCAGTGGGTGCGCTCCCTTTATGGAAACAAGCAGATTTCAGTAATTCAGACCGCTCATTTTTAGAGTCCAGGGACAAAGACCTACTTATTTAGTGCAGCCTACTATCCACGTTTTGCTCACTGTACTGTATTATCACCAGCCTTCCCATTATCCCAGAGCTCCCAGTGCTGATCTGTGACCACAAATGTGTTCCTGTGGAGATCATGCAACCACATACAACAGCTGTGCAACAAATTCTACCTTATCCCATTTAGTAAAACTGGTCGGATGAAGTTATTCAACACTATAAATACAAGGAGCACATGCCTATTTGCTTTTTGTACAGTGTGAGGATGAAACAATGAACCAAATAGCACAAAATGTAGGCTTTTCTAAAGAAAAATGAGTATACTGTAAATGCTACTTTTCACATATCCACATCTTATTAAACAATGTTTCAAACCAAAGCTCGCAAAATAATAGCTTGAAATACAGATATTTCTACAAATTCTTACAAAGACAACATTAGACAACTTCACAGATCACAGACAAGTTTGTAATCTGATTTCATGGAAATGCACGAATTTAAGGACATTCCAACCAGTTTTAAAAACATGATAGTGGGTTGTCTGTTCCACAGTGTGATGCATTCTTCCTGAAGCTAAAGCCTGATCACCTCATGGGGCTACACTGTTTGAAATCTTGAAGGAAATGCTCGAAGCTTTGCTGCAGTGCTCATGTGAATACAGAAACCGACAACCCAGTGTTGCCGGAGTCCATAATCATCAGTAATGATAAGTAAAATTCTGACATTATCTAACACTGACTAAGCGATGCAGGGATTAAAAGAAAAGTCCCCATGTTGACACTCTCTTTCCAGAAAAATGTACTCTTCAAACCATGGCAGCTGTTGTACGTTCATGGATAACAAGTTAAGGTGGTAGTGTGTGTGGACAGCAGGTTCTTTGTCTCTGACAGCAGACAGAAAACACCTGCCGTGACCTCACTAACTTTACCTCAGATCAAAACATCGCCACAAGTGGGGTGCTACAGTGCTACACTGCCCTGTGCCATTGATTCATGATGTTGCCAAGTGCAGCTTGTGAAGGGAATAAAAGATTGGGCACAGAATTGAGCCCTGAGAGACCATGAAGGTGATATCTGCTGCACAAGATAAAGCACTGTCTATTGTGATAAAGTAAGGGAGCTAACACTATCTCCTAATGCTGGTTCAACACACTGTGGTCAGCATGGTGTATCTTCAAGAGAGCAAAGATGGTCTTGTAAAAGCATAGGTGGGTTGAGAAATTCCCTGTATTTGGGCTTTCGAGGCAAGTTGAGTTGCAGTTTACAACCTTCAGTGTTTGCCAAAGAATGACTTGGTCTTTCATGGACAATACATTGATAAATATATGGAAGACCCTGAAATCGAAAACAACAGCACAAGAAGGCTTCATTCCACAGGAGAGTTTACACCACAACCGTTAACAGGGGAACTGATTTAAGTCCTTTGGCATCTTTTTTGGGGGTTTCATTTAGCATCTCTTTATAGGCCTTGTTGTTTTTCTGTCTCTAGTAATACAATAATCTATAGATGATACATGAAAGCCAAGTATGTCTTACTGTCAGGCCTGTCAGAGTCAAGGAAAGCCTTGTTTTTTTTTTGTCTTGAGTTGTACTTTCAAATGTACTGTTTTAACAACCAAGCAAAGCCAACACTGACAGATACATCCAAGTATCTCTCCATGAAAATTCTTATTTTGGCTGTCCAAACCTAAAAATCCTAAAAACGTCAGAATAAGAATCAGAAATACTTTATTAATCCCAGGGGGAAATTTGTTAAAACATCAACAATTCATGATTAAAAGGAGAAAATAGTCACTTGGTTAAATGATTCATCAAGGTAATGTAGGATTCAATTTAGTGTGTGTATAAGTATATATTGTATTTCAATTTTTTTTTCTTAAATGTACATTTTGTTTTAACTTAATTTGGACACTAGTGATAATCGATAGTGTGGTTTAATTGGTCAGGTGGTATAATCAGGTGTTTATATGTCATGCCGATCAGGAAGTTGGTTAGCGTAGATAGTAGGATGGGACACACCGTTCTAACCGTATAAACATAAACGAACAATTACAGTCTGGGCAACAATCATTCATCATCATATCATCATCACGGTTTGTCTGCGCCATCTTTTACAATAAACAACAACTTAATTTCTTTATTTTTTGGATACACGTTAAAGACCATTCCTTACATTCCTTACACCTATGCAGGTGATTTTAAAGGAAGACGTGCACATTGGATAGTCACTACAGGTAATTTTATGCAAACTCTTAACCTCACCATACTATTAGGCTCCTTGTGTTTCTGTATGTATATAAAATATAGAATGATGATTTATTATGTCATACACATATACTGTAGTTTCTAGCCTACATGTACTTGTACTAAATCAAAAACACTCTCAGATGAAGGTTAAAACTATTAGTTGTGAACACTGGTTGATTTTGAGCCTGGCAAAGTTGAAACTAAAAACAAACAAAAAAAAAAACCTCAAATCAAATTCCCTCAGACCTCTCTTATCCTACGTCACACAGGCTGTCGAGCCAACTCATTGCTGAGCTGGAGAAACAACCCTGGTGCTCGAGGCGCTCAATTAGAGCTGCATGATCAAATATGTCAAATGGCGCACGAGGTCTCAAGACAAAGCATGAGCCATCTCCAGTATCTTCTGTTTAAAGGAGGTCAGCCAGGGCACGCAATGGAATTCTTTCTACAATAGTACAGTTTCAAAATACTTGGACTGATGACTACTTGTCTGTAAATGTTCTGTAAATCTTATTTTAATAAGATGTCATGATATGCAGTAAGGTCATCATGGCCCTAATGACTATTACCTTTAAATTAGATTGTTGATTATTTGACATAACATATTTGACTGACATAAGGGGGCGGCAGTAGCTCAGTCTGTAGGGACTTGGGTTGGGAACTGGGTTGGGACTGGTTCAAGTCCTGTTGCTGACGAAATCTGGTAATTGGTCTGGTAGCTGGAGAGGTGCCTGAGCACTGCCGACATGCCCTTGAGCAAGGGACTGAACCCCCTTCCTCCAGCTCAGGAGCACTCGCCTTGGGCAGCACCTTCACTTTGACATCTGTCTGTTAGTGTATGTCCACAGGATCCTGTGTGTGTATTTCAGTTTGAAGCATGTCTCAATACCAGAGTGGAAAATTGAATTTCCCCTTTTAATCTTCTTCTTTAAGTATTGCTTTCCCTGCGCTAAATGTTTTATCGTCTATTCCAGCTTAACTACAAAAAACCATATAACAATCTATATATGCACATTAAAATAAGACTTCATTGAAGGTGCTGCATGCATGAAGAAAAGTAAAATGTGTCAACAGATAATTGAGTTTCAAGTTTCATGGGCCAACAGTGTGGAAGTCAGCGAAGGAGAAACATCAAGTGGACAGGTAGAAAGCCTCCTGCAGAGAGCAGCTTCCTCCGAGTGAAACAAGAATATTGGTTTCAAAGAGCTGTCGTCTGTCAGACTGTGGCCACAGAGGGGAAAAAAAAAAAAAAGAACAAGCGTTTTCTTTGGTTTTGGTTTTGTGATTACCACGTTTTCCTACCCCGGCTAAATGTTTTTAAAATAACTTGTGTAAACACAGAAGCCTGAGGTTTTATAACTCATCGAGAGTTATTAAAACTGAGGAGGAAGAAAAGAAGAAGGAAGACACACTCACCATGTCTGTATCTGACACCGGCCCAAAACTGGTCACGTAGATGTTTGTCCTCACTTCTGTCACGCTCTCTGAGGGAAGAGACGACAAGAAGCAGAAGACATCATGATGCAGTCTGTACACAAGACAGCTTTGCTGCAAGCTTGCTCTTTGTTAAGCTGATTGTTTGTGTACATGACGGTGAAGTCTGCCTGTTGGCATTTAGCTAAGCCTCTTTACAGCAACAATTCAACAGTAATCAAGAGTTCGAGCAACACTTCAAGCTGAGGGGAAAGTGTGGATTTATTCATGCTCACAGGACAATTTGTGCCCTTCTGGACAGCCTAATACCCAGAGATCTGCTGTCTTTATGCATCATTTTGTCAACACCACGTCAGCTTTGGAATGCCACAGATTGCAGGTTTAGAACATAATGCGATAGTGTTTGATATTTGGTAAAAGGGAGACTCTGGCTTTATCAGACAGCATTTATCATAGCTCTCCAAAAAATATTCAGCCAGAATTTTTTTTTTTATTTGAACAACTATTTAGGTCTGAAAATGTAGCTGTGTGCAGCTTCACAGATGCTCTTGGAAGTCTTTAGTTCTGTAAAAGTACCATTTGTTTGACTGCAGCTCGTTTTGTCCACAACAGCATAAAATCTGCTTTGGGCCAGACCCAAGTCTGTATCTTTGGAGAGAAGACATCCCTTTTGACCCAAAATAATTTGAGTTAGCCTGCCCCAAAAACATTAACAGCCCCTGAGGGAATACTGGCTCAGGAATAAAATGCAGCAGCTCAGCATTAAGGATGTGTGTGTTTGTGTGTGTGTGTGTTATCCAAATAATGGGCACACTTTGTCGCTATTACACAATTCTCTGCATGCATTATAATCTCATTAGACAGGATGTAGTCTTTTGTGTTTGTCCAGTGGAGCTTTCTGCTCTGCATATTCCGGGGTCAATTCAGTTCTTTATAAATACTTGATATAATTCCCATATAATAAAAAAAAAAGTATGTATTATTAGCCGTGGACGACATGACTAAAAATGTCATTATTACGATAAAAATCAGACGATATCGATAATTATCACAATAAATGTTCAATCATTATTAATCTCAGGTTTTAAGGGTGATTTTTTACTCCTCACTGGAAGTTGAATAAGCCAGCTGGTGAATTGTGGTTTAACCATTCTTTAGTGTCAGAAAACTGACAAACTCTGCTTGAACAGAGGAACATTTCACAACCATTATAAGCACAGTGCACGGTGCTGGAAAACACGGATCTGACAGTTTGCTGTTGGGCAGTAACACCTACTGGCCCGCTGCTTACTGAGGGTCCATTAACTCTTGTTTGTGACGTTTGGTCATTTGTGATCTAATGTGGTGATATTGTTTCAAATGGTGAAAAAAGGTTTGCGGCGTTTCCCGTTTTAGCTGCACTTGTCTTCAGCACAGTTAACAGAGCATGTTACTTAAATGTTTTTTCTGTTTGTTCTTGTCGACGATGTTTTCTCCCCTGCTTTGAGCTGGTAGGCTCAGCATTTTCTTTTGTGTCACTATCACTCATTTCGGCTGTGTTTCCATTCTGCTCCAAACGTCTGTAAGCCCGCCTACCCATATCCCTGCAACATGATTGGCTGTTCGTCGTCTTTTTCTTCTACCCTTTAATGTCGGTTGGCAACCAGCTTCTTCTATCAACTTCTATAATCTATAAAACTTTATGGAACATTTGTTATATTTATTTAGAAAAATTAGATTTTATCACCCATGTATTATTACATGTTATGTTACCATAAAAACACAATTCTTGCTTTAAATCTGATGCAAAGTTTAAGAAATGATGCTATATTTTGTAAAAATGATCAATGGATCATCTTGCTAAGAGGTCATTAGTTTAGTTTAGTTTGTTAGGATGCCCATTAGCTGCAGCTAATCTTTCTGGGTTCCACAACATCCTTTTCAGTGACTATGTCATGAAATCTTATCCTTCAAAATCAACATTAACTCATTAACAGGACAATATAGCAACTTACTGTACATCATAGCACATAACATTAAAACAATAACAGACAAAACATTATCACAGTTACACAATAAGAACAGCTCCTGGCAACAAAGATGATAAGATGTATTCAAAGTGACATCCCCAGTGACAATGAAGATTACTACATTAAATGTATATAATGTAAACTAAGACAAAAATATGAATTGTGAAGATTAATGGACATATAGGAGAAAGCAGGATGTCATACACAGAAAGAATGTGAAATAATGGACAAACCTCACCTATATATCTATATATAGCTATATATATATAGATATATACATAAAAAAACAAGTAAAGGAAATGAAAGAAATGAAAGAAAACAAGGAGAAGAACAAGTTGGACCAACAAAAGCGACATCCAGTCAATAGAATCAAATTGACAAATAAAGAACTGGTTAGTCAGAGTTTTTAATTGTGATGTTAATCATGGCCTGTTGAATAATTGGTCCCAATGACTTGAGGATCTGAGTGTAGCTTTAAGACAGGAGCTGAAAGTAAAGACAGATCAAATGTTGCCCTCCTCACTGTGGGCTGAATCAGCTCCTCTGCCCTGAAGGTGTAAGGCAGACTACTGGCCCATCGGTGAGACAAATAGTTGCTCCCAGCGGTGCAACAACCTGAGACTGATGAGGCTTTTCTCCAAAAGTGACTAGACCGTCGGCACTAACTGTGTCCCAGATCTAAGCGACCACCCACAGGTAAAGTTTCCAATCCTTTGGCAAAGGGCCCCCATGAGAGCAGAGATCCACTTCCACATTAATCATTCCTGCGACACAAATAGCTCGCACAAATACGTGATTATCACAACACCCAGTCAGCAGTTTTTGCATGGCAGCCATAGGCGAGGGTGCAGAATGAGTCGCCCTGTTTTTGTTTACAACAATGCACTGGAGCATAGGGCAGAGCTAATAGAGGCTGCTGGAAATGAAAATAAATGTCCTCCAATTTCTCTCCAGTCTGAGACGGTCCCATGTGACGACTTTCTACTGGGACTTTAGGGTGTGACTGGCCAGCTTGTTTATTTACGTGCACAATTAAATACATGCTGTCCTTCAATTCAGTTTAATGTTTGACATATTACAAAAAATGACTAATAAACTGTCATTGTATTAGTCTTACTTGCATTGTATAAAGACAGATTAAGCATTATCTGGTCTCTTGAAAACAAGAAATACTATTTTACTGTGATATAAAGACAATAGAGGACCATTACCTCCACCAAGAAAATTGAATTTTGGTGTCCTTTGTCTGTCTGTTAGCAATATTAAGTTGACAAAAAATTCCCTTATTTTTTTGAAAATTGGTGGACATGTGTTACATGAGCCAAGGAAGGATCAAATTAGTTTTAGAGGAGATCGGCCTATGACAAAGGGAATTTGTGTGGTCCAACTAACATACTAAAAACAAAACATCAGCCACCTCAAACCTCACTGTAGAAATAAATTCACAGCTGAAATGATCATGACCCTTCACCTTGGCACACTGCTAATTTGAATTATTCTTATTTAGGCTTTTGAAATAGATATAGCCATACAGTGAAGTGGTTGTGCAGGTAGATTTTCATTTAATAGGAAACAGATTAATGTCCATGGTGAAGGTCTGCACTCTCTGATCAGCATCGAGCTTTATCATATTTTAAAAAATCAATAATTTAAAATGTGGTCATCCTGCTATTATACAAACAAAAACGTTGAAAATTGACTAAATGAAACTGTTCTAAAAGAAAAGCTTTCATAAAAATTCTAAAAGTCTATCCCAAAGTGCATATAATGGTATAAGTGAAAGTAAACAAGTGCTCTCCCACCCATATTTTAAACTTTAAAATCAGTGTCTTTTCATCCAAATCTAGCTGTATCTGTGCAGTTTCTCTTGTATGTCCATTGGCCTGTCGAGCCATTAAACTCTGTTGAGCCTGTTGGAATAGCCTGCTCTGTTTCACTGCAGCTCACAGGTCTGCACTCTCACATACACTGCACTACAAACAGAAGCCATTATGAGTAGTTCAGGTCTCTCCATCTCCTTGCCCTTGGAGAGATGAAGCTCTGCCGCTCACAGGCAGAATCTGACATTAACGTCTTGTGCCTGCTTCGTCTCTCTGGTTGCTGTCTTGGAGTCCTGGTCATGCAGCCTGGTGGGTCTGAGGCCTGGTAGCTTCGCTCATGGCTGCAGCAGTGTTCAGCAGAGCAGAAAGGAGCGTTCCAGCTGGCTGACTGAGGAACGGCAGAGCCTGCTTGAGCATTTGTGCTTGCTGTTGTGCAGTTTGCCGTCCTTGGGGGGGGCAATATTTGGATGAAAAGGCATCAATTAGTGGGCTTTCCACTGACATATGTGCTGATTTGCCATTTGGGCTTGATTGAACAAAGACTTCCACTCAGGGGAAGTCAGATTTTTGCACACAGTGGCCTGACATCAGTGATCCTGGTGTCAGTATGCCCAATATGTGGCTGCTTGTAGCAGTAAAAATGTTTACAGAGAGAGAGTGAGTGACTTTCAATTTATGAGGTCTAGATTTTCCACCAGTCATAAACAGTTCAGCCAAACCACGTGGAGCCTGTTCATTATTACTGTACCTGTCAATCAAAATATAATGATAATACTGTTTTTTATCTACCTGTGTATCTGCTAATAGCAGCTAATGTATGCAGCTAGATTCAAGAAAAACACACGTATAAATGAAAGTTAAAAATAATAATGAAAAGTGATTTTTACAAAATAATTTGCTGCTCGTGTGGATGACACCCCCTGTGGACAAAGCAGTATCTCTTGTGTGTTTGCTGATTGTGTCCTGAGCGTGCTGTGTTTTCTGGAGAAATATGGCCTCCTGCTCTCTGAAACAGTCAAATGTATCACCTCGAGAAAAAAGACTGTTCTGGCAGAGTTTCATTGATCGTATCATCTGACACCTATCCCCTAGCTAGCGCTTTGGACATAGAAAGTATCTATATTTTTTATAAATTCCATAGAGGAAGAGCGCATGAGGTAGACATGCATCATAGGGTCACAGCAGGACTCTAACCTATCGACTCATAGAGGATGATAGCCTGTGTACACGGGGCGCCTGTGCCAAAACAGCTCCCCAACGGTAACAGTGTTGAAGTGTCTGTACCTGTCTGAAATTTTTCAAAGACAAATGGAAGAGCTACTTACCTCCGAGCCCAGGACGTAGCCTGTTGTCATATCCATCCAACAGCCTGTCAAGGATTTCAGTGAAAATGGTGATATTGTCTTTAGTATCATCTGGCAACGGCTCTCTGTGCCCAACTACTGCCCTGCAGGAGGAGACAGAAAGAGAGAGAGAGAGAGAGAGAGAGAGAGAGAGAGGGCTCAAAAGATTGAAAACATATACAATGTTAGAAAACCTTGATGAACTTGATAAATTGTTGAACTGAGACTCAGATACATCAGTGGTGTAAAATCCAGCTGTTTGTAACTAAGCTGTATTCTCACAGTGAACATTCAGTACATTTAAACTATTTCCTCAGGTCTATGGAAACTGGTGATTTATTTACTAAAACATTACACCGGCTTTCAATCCAGCTGAATGATTTAATAATGATTTTTATCTCATGATTTTGAAATATAGTTCCATCAGTGTCGTTGTTCGTGGCCATCCCTCCAGTGATTCTGGTTCTGCTCGAGGTTTCTGCCTGCTAAAAGAAATGTCTTCACTGCTGATAAGTGCTGCTCATAATGGATTCATGTTGGGTTGATGCAACTAATACACCAAAGATTATACTCTAGTCCTCTTTATGTGAAGTGTCACAGCTTCTGTTATGATTTGGCAATATAAAAAATGGTTATTTGATTGAAATGTACTTCTAATTGGAGATAAACACAAAAGACATGTTTGTTTTGGTATGAACTTTGTACAGTTTTAGTTGTGCACGATAAATCAATTTGGCCTTGACCTTGATATTGTGAATAGGTTAAAGAATTAATGCTGTTGAATGCTGAACAATTCTAATTGACTTACTGTATGGACTGTCACTATATAGTGAGGTCACCAGTGAGGTCACCTATGAGGTCCATTCATTTATGTATCTTTTTTTTAGATACATTCCTGGCGTTGGATTTATTAATTCTAGATTGATAGCACTGGCTTCTCATTTGGCGACCTGTTCGTCTGTTGAATTGTTGTTACTGACATTTGAATGTAGCTGAATGCTGCTGTGACTGTGTTTGTTTCCTTTATGTTGTCTTTGCGTCTTTCAATGGCTGTGAAACTGAATTGCCATTCTGGGATAAATAAAGTTGTCTGAATCTGAATCTGAAGAGTTATATTATTGGAAAATTGAAAAAGAAAATCCCTAATAATGTATTTAATATAATTCAACACAGTGAGTGTGAAGGTATAAAAGAGGTGCTTTTCTAAAAATATCTTGTATGTCATGTTGTCTTAATGGTTTTACTCCATGAAGGAGCTACTCTGCATAGTGTTACGGCTGTATGTTTCCCTATGCTGTGTGTTCCTTCTCCACTTCCTGTTGTCTCCAGCCCAGGTGAAGCCACTAATTGAATAACGAGGCACACCTGGCCTCAGTGCTTAAAAGGCCAATGTTGGCTGCAGGAAAAGAGGCATTTTGAGGAGGCATTTGGAGTTGGGACTGCTGTGCCTCTCAGTCAGGGATTGGCTGTTGTGCTTGTGTTTTGTGGATCTTTGTTATCATGTTGATAATAAATCCCTTTATTTTGACTTGGGTAAGGTGTTTTAAGTATTTTAATTCGGTGAATGTAGGGCGCCTTATGGCGGGGCGTAACAATAGTTTCATGATAGAAGTCATCGTAGCCATCAACAAGCACCTCCTGTCTCCATGCACGATCACACAATTCACAGCATGTTACTGCTGGGTAAGAATGAATCTTTAAGGCTCCAAGATTTTTCCTTCATTTTATTTTAGTCAACCTTTGATTTTTCCAGAAATATAAATAGGGACCCTGATCAAGACAAGAGCATAAAAAAACAGCACAAGCAGAAATCACATCCAAAATGAATCAGCAGCATTGAACAGGAACATGTGCATTAAGTGGTCAAATAATCATATATCCTGTTTTTGTAACCTTCCATGCTGATAAAACAATCTACTTTAAGACCCTGTAGCTCAGACCAAGATGACAGTACAAAAAAACATTAAAAACACTTTTGAAAAAGCAAAGTGAGTTTGAGGAGTTACAGAATGTGTCCATGTGACCAAAGGTTACAGCTTCAGAGAGTTCAAGTTAGAATAAAACAAATAAGAAGGCAGTTGGCCTTTACAACTGTAGGATGGAAGATTCAATACAAATTGTTCTATAAGATACAATCAAGTGTTTGAAAACCAAACCAGAACCAAACTGCAAGACTTCATTGTACCCTAAGTCAAAAATGTCAGTAAAGATGACAATTAGCATCTCATATTGATATAAACATACAACCACAGTTCATTACAGTTACAATACTGCATGAGTATGTTCTATTTCCTCACACTGACAGAAAAACATTTATTTCAAAAGAAGTAACCCTAATCATCCTATTGCATTCAATCAAGTCATTATTTAAAGTCGAACTTAAGCCTGGTACACACTGCAGTATTTTTAAAGTCTTAAACGATTTTGATAACGTGAGAGACCCCACACATGACAACGATCCTGACTGACTAACAGTTCAGATTGCATCGTGTGTGGTGTGCAACGAGACGATCAACTCGGCACACCGATTAATTCGCCGACAACCAGAGTCTCGACTATCTCAAAGTGTCATCTCGCGTCAGACGTGATTTAGGAGTAAACAAACATGACGTGCGAGCTAAATGTGGCTAGCTGTTAGCTGGTAGATCCATTACGGTAAACATTTTGGTCCTTTCCTTGTCAGTTGGATTGTGGTTTGTTTTACAGGACACGTTGTAATATAACTCGTGTTGTTGCCACAAATCAACAAGTTGGTTTGAATTCATGACATCCATTTAACTTTATGCTTTGCGATTGCTGTTGTTGCCATGGTCATGTGTGTTGTGCTTCCTGCTTCAGTCAGCTTGCTTCCCTATTGGCTATTGTTCTGTTCCAGGTGACAATTCACAGAGTCGGTGCTCGGCCGTCCTTGGTGTTCTCCCCATACCACAGGATTTCTGATCGATTTCTGATCGTCTTCCGGGCAGATCGGGGAGGTTAAAATCACTCTTAACACACCTCACACCAGAGGAGAATCTGGCAAGATAATCTGTGGAACATCAGATAGTCGGGCCTTTGCTGACTTTCGTCGAAAGGGGGGAATCGGGCCCAAAATTGGCCCATTTCATTTTGTTTAGTTGAAATCAACAAGTCTAACGTAGTTTACTAAGATTCCTCTGTACAATATTAAAACAACTCATTGTAGTTAATCACACCCCATGTGGATAAAAAACAAGTATATTTCATGGTATCAACAGCAAAAAACTAACTTTGTGTCAATGAAATCTTTACATTAATCACTGATATAAATTATAGATAAAATAGGACCCAAAACTAACCCTTTTCGAAATATTTTGTATATTCAAAAAGTTTGAACGTAGACTTGGACAAGTTGCCTTAATGTTAGTCAACCTCTGAAAAAAAAAAACAGAGTGATCATCAGTGTTAAGCTTCTTAAAGGAGAGTCTACTTTAAAAAGAATATCTTCCTTTACTCGTTTAACTTTCTGATAATTAAAGCAACAACATGTAGGAATTTGGTTTGGTGTATTGGCGCCAACTAAAGGTCTCTGAGTGCAACCGCACTGTCTTAAGACAGTGTGGTTAACGCCCACCCCTCTTGGACAAAGTGAATCAGTTGGTCCGAAGCTGGCAACAACATTGAGAGAAGCTAAATAACCATGTCGACTAAGAGGTTACAGTAATATTACCAGATTTTGGACAAATATGAATCTGCAAGTTTTCAGCGTGTTGTTTGCAAACTATTTGGATGTGGAGCATGTGGATGAGTAGTCAACTGTTGCCATGATATCTATGACGTAGTCACTCTCCTTTTCTCTTCTCAGCATCATCCGTAACCTTCCTCTTCCTCTTCTCCTCAGCCATTATATCAAACCGCACACATACAGGCTGACTGGCTCCTTTTTTATAACTGAAGGCTTGTGTGTGAACTAGTGCCGTAAAGCCCTACCTACTAGGCGATCAGTCCACACTGTGGGCATGGAGGAGACGCCATTTTCCAAGTTGAAAGTTATTATGCTATTCAATCGACCTTTGTACCTGCTGCTTAAAGGTGGAAAAGTTGCATTATAGAGAGTATATGAGCTATAACCCCATCCATTAAAACACTAAACAGACAAAGGTCACTACATGCTCACTACTGAGTATTTCTAAATGACATGCCTACCTGCTCTTAACAGTAAAAATAGCTTCATCTTGAGATATTTAGGAAAATGACTTCAGTCGAGCTAAGTGGCTATTACATGGACATGTGTGGGTGATTGATAAATATCAATTATGCATTTCGACTCCTCCGCGTTCCAGCTGTGTACGGTATAATAAACAAGAACATTGAGATTTATGAGGCCAAAAATAAGAAAGGAGAAAAAAAAAGTGTTTTAAGTTGACAACTTCTGCAAGTATTGAATGACTTAGTTTTAAGAATGATCAATATCACTCAGGTATTCTGTCATCTTTCTTCTTGAGTATTGCTGATTTTGTTTTGGCTGTAACTACGCTGTGACCCTGCAGGTGTGTGGAGAATTACTTGAGATGTGAGCAGACTGATGTCAAGTTGCCTGTTGAAATGATTATAGACTGACGGTGTTTGGTTGAACTATAAAAAGGCGCACCAGTAGCTCTTAACCCGAGTCCATTTTTGATGGAGGAGCTTCCAGTGCATGTCAAGTTGAACAGAGCAGATCTACCCGGACAGGACGATAGACCTGGAAACGCATAGAGGGCCCATTCAATTTAAAAATAAAACCCATTACTATATCAACCGTAAGTCAAAACAGGCACTGATTGAGCAGTATGTGGTTCTCTTTGTTCCCAGGTTATCTTCAAATTCTCCTGGGATCTTGTGAACTTGTGAGTTCAGCTCCTCCAATGCTGCGCTTCAGAAACTGATCCAGTAAGGTAGGAGGCGTCTTCAGAGAGACCAAAGCCACATCGCGCATAATGCTGTGGGGGTCTCATTGTAACTGGTGAGTTTTTCTTTTGCATCAAACAAAAGAGTTGCAGCGTTTCATATTTCAGGTCATTTGCTTAAGATTGCATATCCTGTGATGTGACTATTGCACATGCACACATCGCAAATGTGTTCGTCAAACGATTTATGGCGCAGC